TTTTTAGACTGCGTTACCAACAATGTTGTATCTTGTTAATTTATATGCAAAATGTGTAGCTAAATGGAAGGTTGCAGTCTGGTTCACTTTTTAAAATACTTGTAAAGATATATACAGATGAAATAAGCAAGCATTTATTTGACAAAATGTTAAATCATTTGTTGTTGGCCTTCTTTTTTATGCTGGCAGCATATCTATGAGGATCATGAAATTCCAATGAATCCATGGAACTACCTAAGTATTATTGAGGGTAATTGTTAATATTATACAGATATACATGTTAGCATTCACCATCATTCTTTCCTGTTACAGTTCTCTATGAACAACTGGCCTATGAAGATTCACAAATCACAACACAATCTTTCTATTGAATACTAAAACATCCTCCTCCCATACCGAAAAGCAACTGCAAACATCAACACAGCCACTGCAACACCGACGACGGAACGCCAGTTATGCACTGGCGTCGCCCTCTGGCAAGCCCTGAGAGCAAAGTCGATACCTTGGCCCTCAACTACATCCTTGCCCTTCACAGTCGCCTTGAGCTTAACAACCCTTGCTATCGCCTCGTACTCCTCTTTGGCGCCTCCCTCCAAAAAAGCCCCTACCACCCTCCCTTTGTTCACCCAATATGCTCCAAACTTCCCCTTGGTGAAATCTCCATAATGTACAACATCCCCGATATTGTCCCCGTAAAACTGCCACGCGAGAGTAAACACTCTCGAGTAAAAGAATGGCACGTAATCGAGGTCGCTGGTGTTTCTGGGGCCCATGATGGCGGCGACGGCGTGCCTTGCAGTCTTTCGAGCAGAGTCTACATGCTCAAGGCGACGGGTGTCACCGTTAAAGAGCTTGACAGGGAATGCAGCTACGTCTCCCACAGCGTAAACTGAGCTGTTGCTTGTTTGCATCAGATTGTTTACTTTGATTCCACCCTTCTCAATGGTTAGCTGGTCCTCGAAGAGGCTCGTGTTTGCACGGCTCCCGATGCCCACGACGACCATGTCAGTTGGTAGTCGGGTTCCATCTTTGAGAATCACTGCTGTAACCTGAAGAAGAGACAGATGATTTAGCAATCAAAAGCATAATTTGCAAGTACTACCTATCATATGAAAAATCTCAGTTCAAATCTCAAGAAACAAACTCCAAATAACTTCTGAAAAAACAAGAAAACTGAAAAAATAGCAATCCAATTTTTTTTTATTTAATCTCATATTTCCACGCACAAGTCTGAAATGTTTGAAAATAATATGGATGAGACGCCTGAGCATCTAAAATCATTACCTTTCCTTCAGAATCATTTTCAAACGATGTAACAACAGTTCCTTTTATAAACTTCACTCCCTTCGACTCATAATAGCCCTCATAAAAACTGGCAATTTTTTGTGTGAATAAACGAACCACTGCAGAGACGAATGAAATTTATCAACCGTCTTACATTGTCCAAACAATATAACATGATATAAGTTTAAAATGTGAATATACTTACTACAATGTGCGCCAGGGAACACCATGGTTACTTTTATTCGGTTTGTAACAAGCGCAGCTGTACATTCCATGCCAATGTAGCCCCCGCCGATTACGACAGCATTGCCACCGACACAAGATTTCATTACATCTACAAGTCTATCTGCATCATTCAAATTGAGGTAAATCTTGTTATGGAGCTTCTGCTATTCCGGGAGAAGATGACGAAGAAATTCCCACCTTCCCGCTTTCTGAAGATGAACAGGAGGCCTTTGCAACCCGAAGTGGGAATGAGTATCACTACAAGTACCCGGATGCTTCCGAGCAATTAGGCACCAAAACCGCTCCTTCCAAGACATTGGCAGAACTG